TATGAAATTGGTATTTGAGTTTCGAACCAAAAAAAAAGAAAAAAAGACAGGATATTGTGTGTTGTGCAGGTGAGGTGGTGCTGCAGGCCTGCGTCACGTGAGTCTTTGAGGCCTTTTCTCGATATTACGGAGAACTCACCACTGTGAAACGGAGGTGGTGCTGCAGGCCCGTATCACGTGAGTCTTTGAGGCCTTTTCTTGGTCCTGAGAACTCATCCATGGTCTTCGAGTTTGAGGCCCGTCAGGGGTGCATTTTATACCCCTGCGGCATTTTTTCGTGCAATCCGTCAGGGGTGTGTTCGCAGCCCGTAGGGGCTGCGTTTATACTAGGTTGGATTTTGTCATTTCGCACGCTTACGGGAATGGGAAATGTCGTGCACTCGAATGAAGCAAGACGGAGTCGTTTTGAGGTTTCTGAACTCAAAGAAAGGGTGCGTTCGTTGTCTCAAGACCGTCCGGTCGCCCCGGCGGTCGTGTCAGAGCTTGGAGATCCAACGACCACTGATGGGTTTTGCAGGTCGTTCGGCGTGAGTTGCTGGCGGCATCCAGCCTTTCCCGTTTGGGAAACCGGTAGGGGTTGTTGTTGTCGAGCGCCGTAGAGGGTAATGGGCCACCTTTTCTCTATACGGCATGGGCGAGCGAGAGCGACATGGGAGGACGTAGCCTTTCTCTATCTCTCTGCGCGCGTGGGTGGATGGAAAGAAGTGTATATTTCCATATCGTACTGAAAGATGCATTCCGATTTTGCTCATCCTGTCGATGGAAGTAGCCTCTCTCTATCTCTTTGCGTGCATGGCTGGAAAACTCTCTCTCTCTCTCTCTCTCTCTCTCTCTCTCTCTCTCTCTCTCTCTCTCTCTGTGTATATATATATATATATATATATATATATATATATCCCTCTCTCTCCTCTCTCTCTCTGTCACACTGACTCACACACACACACACACACATACACACATGTAGTAGTGTATATTTTCATGTTCTAGTGGAACATTCATTCGACTTTGCTCATTCTATCGATGCAAGTAGCGTGAGGCCAGCCGCGGGGTTGGAGACTTACCTGTTGGCCGGTGCGTTGCGCTCTCTCTC